ACTAAAGGTCCCTGCCACCTCTGTCTGGCGCAGTAGCCGTTGGGGCAGGGACCTTTAGTCCCGGTTGGAGACACCAACCGGGACTAAAGGTATTTCTAGTCCCGGGCGTAAAAAATTCCGGGACTAGAGCCCATTTTAATCGAGGATCAAAGATCTGTTATCTACTAGTGTGATTGAGTCAGGTACTAGGCGAACTGCTGATAAGTTGGAAACGCCGGATACTGCCAGGCGAAAGGCGCTTGGGAACAGCCTTGCGAAAAGTTTGGCCGGTGAATTATAGTTTGACCAACTAGAATGGGTGTCTAGTTGTAGAACTGACTGTGGTTGCTTTCGGCACGAGGTGCATTATGAAAGACATGCTTGGGTGCCTCACTGCTCCTGGAAGCCTCATCCATCTCTTTGAGTTCTCTAGCCATCTTGCTGTACTTACAATCTCTAGTAAAGTGACCGGCGTTTTCGCCGCATATAGCACAGTATGGGGGCCTCGGCCCTCTTACTTGACCCCTGTCGTCTCATCCCCCGTGCGTGGCACGACCGCCTCTGCCGCCACGCGCCAGAAAGTCGAAAGGGCGATACAACTGTGATTACACTAGATCTGATTGACCTTGCTCTGGTGCTGACTGCCCCGAGTCTTCTTGGAAATTGTTGATCGTGCGAAAGGACCTCACATTACATTGAGTTGGTGCCTGTGGAATTCTTGAGGTCTTGGCTGCTTGTCTGACTTGGTTGCATGCAGCTTTTCGACGCTTGAAATCATCATCTGACCTGGCATACTGCCTCATTTCAAAGAGTTCTTTCACGATAGTCAGCGGTTTCCTTGCGAAATGCGCAGCACATTGCCCGATCGCCAAGCCTTCAATTGCCGCTGCTATCACTGTTGCTTTCGGCACATTGGGCACTTGGGCCTTTAGGTGAATGAATCTTTCTAAGAACTTGGACAATGTTTCGTTATCCTGTTGGCTACAGTTTAGGAGATCTCTCATGGTTTTCTTCCCCAACTGATATCCTTGAAAGGTTGCCAGAAGTTCTGCTTTTGCTTGTTGCCAGAAACTGATCGATAATGGCTACCAATCGTGGGTGACATCTTCAACTGCTAAAATGAGTGATTTCGCCAGAGTCGTTGCGTCTCCACCCGCCAAAAACATTGCCATTTCGTAGCCTGCTATGCACTTCCTGGGGTTGATTTTTCCATCAAAGGCTGGATTTCTCTGAGCAATCTCTCTCTTTGACTTTCGGCTTGCCTGATGGCCCTCTGAGTCTGCTCGGCTTTGTTCCATGCTGCTGCCTACTGCAGTAGCTGTTCCTTTTCTTGTTGCAACCTTAGAATTTCCTGCTAATATCATCCAATCTTTTTAGCCCCTAGCTTGGTTAGCAGTTTCATCTTCTTTGTCATTGTTTCCGTCTTGGTCCTCGGGTAAATACTGTACGTCCTCTTCTAGCGTTGCCTCCCTTTGGCCCATTAGTTCTGTAATTACTGGTTCTACGGTTGCTGCATCTATCGTCACAGCGACGTTCGTTGCATCTGCTTCAATGGCTACCGCCTTCGCCATGGACGATTCGACCCTCTCACTCACCATCTTGTTTCCTTTCCTTCCGGCCATGAAAAGCTCGAGCAACAACCACGATGGACACCAATGTTGTTCTAGGCCTCAGCCTTCGAACACCAGGCTGCTGCTGTAGCTACCGAAAACACATCAATACCAAAAGAAGGGAACACAGAGGAAGAATGAAAGGAAAAGTATGTATTGATCACCAAAACAAGGGTTTTCCTCCCTTTACAATGCTCCCATGGAGCTCTATTTATACACGGTCGTATCTTTTACAAGGACCAAAATGCCCCCCTAACTACTACGATACTCAGGCATATTTTTTTCCCTGGAGGCGCCTTTTGTCCAACCTGCATTTGGCCTCCATCGGAAAACGCCTTCCTCAGGTGGGTCCTCCCTGTTCGGGCCCCCTCGGCAGGCGACCACTAGGCCTTCTTAGTAGGATGGCAGGCCAAAAACAACGAAAGACCTGCAAGACGACATGTCACTCCTTAACGATTAGCCACTGTCCCACCGAAAAGTTCCCCCCAGATATCGCACTTTGCTACTGATCACTTGCTAACGAAAGCAGTAGACGCCTTTCGTCACGGGCACCGCCGATGCGTCATTCAAGGGTGAAAGCTGCCAATGCCATTCGCCAACCATTTCGTCAATTGTCGACCCGACCCATAAGGGCAAAACGTTGGTCGAAAGCTTTTGCGCCCGCCAGCGTGAGCCGGGTGAAAAATGCCGCTAGCTTTCGCCACTTGTTTCGTTGGCGAACCTTTCGTCCCTAGCAGGCGAAACGTTGGTCGAAAGCTTTTGCGCCCTCCTACGCGAGCCAGGTGAAAGTCCCGCTGGCTTTCGCCAGTTGTTTCGTCGGCAAGCCTTTCGTCCCTAGCAGTCGAAAACGTTGGCTGATTAGTAGGAAAAGGAGGGGGCCTAGGTCATAGGGCCTCCCCCAACTCCAAGATTATGGACTCTACTATTACTTAGGGAGTAGCAAATAAATGTGCATCCACTCTGCTTATTAGGCTTGGTTAGATCAAGTGAGACTTTGTGCTTGTTACTCTTGGTGATTGGCATCACCTAGATGACTTGGTGGTGATTGGGAGTTTGGTGATCTCTCGAGTGGCAATTGTGAGAGGTCAAACTCATAGTGTAAAGGGTCATGGGTGATTCACCGCACTGGAGTGGCGAAGAATCAACCGTAGAGAGCACTTGGTCCTTGTGTGGATCAAGAGGGAGCAATACCCTTGTGCGGGTGCTTCAACGAGGACCAGTGAAGTGTGTCGACTCTCCGATATATAGGGAAAACATCGACGTGTTTCTAACCTTCTCTTTACTTTGATCATTTATTACTCTCAAGCAATTAGCATTCCTAGAATTGTCATAATAGAATGGGTTGAAACAACTTTGTGCGGTGGCCTAGTAACACGTGTTTAGGTATTAGGGTGAAATTAGCTAAAGGATTGGTTTTAATCTCGCGAGAATTTTAAATTAACCCAATTCACCTTATGCTTTGACAATGCGATCCTTTCAATCCTTATGTTACTCATCGGTTATTATATAATATTATTACATGCCAAGATCATTATGTCTATAATTAGTGAGGCCCTATTGGGAAATAATTGTGATGGCCGTTGGGAAAGATTCCCCCCCCCCATTTGTATCTCATGGGAGGAGAAAGTCTCTCGTGTACCTGTACCCATCTTGAAAAGGGAACTCCCGATAGGGAAACAATGTTATGGTCTTTATGTTTTTGGTTAGTGAAGGATTTAGAATTTTGTCAAAGGTATGGCGTACAAAAAAAAATACATATACAATTGGATAAAACCATTTTGCTAATTCGGTAGATAATTATAATTTTCACAACGTAATTCAATATACATCCACTAAGGATCTGATCGGTTGATGCCGTAGTTTGCCACCCGTAACTTTAGGTAAACTGTGGTTGTCAGCCTGTCACATAAAGTGTAGCGAGCAAAATCGAAAACATTTTTTATGGTAAAGTTTGCCAAAAAAAAAGTGTATGATGCTAAACAAGTATGACGCACCATTGATTGCGGCAGTGAAAAAGTTGTGGTCATGAACCAAACAGATCCTTAACTAACATGATCTAGTTGCCTAACAAGTAGTTGGAGGCTTGCTAAAAAATTAGCCTACCTAGTTGCCCCATCTTGATAGTTCTGGAACGGAGGGAGTAACTAACTATGCTTTCAGCAAATTTTCCCTTCATGGGAGTGGAATGTATACAAGTTGATATTATCCTTTGGACGGCAAATTGACTAAAGTTTAACTGAATTTAAATGTATGACTATTTTGTTTATTTATTGTAAGAGAGAAAAATAAAAAGAGCAATATGCATGAGTCCGACGATGCCCAAAACAACTCTTGTCTCCTCTTCCCAGGCATGGTTAAGTGTGCTACAGGCTAGCCGGCTAGCTGGACAGTATACACCATGTTCACTTGATCGTATCAGCCATGTTTACTGGGAGGATGTTTCAAAGCTAGAACGTCAATCTTACTGGGACAGTGGGAGTATGACATATGTTTTTTTTTCTTTTGTTCCTAGTAGTGATACTTGTAATTATACGTACCTCGTCAAATACGGAGTACAACCTCAGCAACAGCAACGCTAGAGTCCGACGATGCCCAAAACAACTCAGACCTTGTTTAAATTCAGGGGCTAAAGTTTAAGGGATGTCATATCGGATATCACATAAGAGTGTTTGATAGTAATAATAAAACAAATTACACAAGTCATCAGTAATTCGCGAGACGAATTTATTAAGCTTAATTAATCCGTCATTAGCACATGTGTTACTGTAACACAACATTATCAAATCATGGACTAATTAGGCTTAAAAAATTCGTCTCGCAAATTAGTTGCAATCTATACAATTAGTTATTTTTTAGTCTATATTTAATACTCTATGTACGTGTCCAACTATCTAATATGATAGGGACTAAAGGGAGAAACAAACGAGGCCTCAACATCTGTTGTTCACAAAGCTTGCAGCCCAAATTGAAAAGAGCAAGAAATTGTTCAAGAAAAAAGGGGTCAACAGCGCTGCGCAGCGTGGCTAGCCTGCATTCAACTTGGCTTCTTTCAAATTTCGGTTTGGCAACGGCGCGCCGCGCGCGGCGACGAAAAGCATTTCATTTCCCTCCGTCTTCTCCCGCCCTCCCCTCCGCCACGTCAGGGATCCGCGTGAAAAGCGCATCGCGACCGTCCATGCGAAGAAGCACCAACGGCCCACGGCGCTTGAAGCCAGCGATCCGCGGCACCTGCCCCTCCACCAATCAGCGCTCACCTCTCCCATCCTATAATTAACGCACCGCCCCCCAACCCTTCCACCCCGCCTCCTCTCCCATCCAACAACAGCGAACACATCTCCTAGCATTTCTTCCCAAATCCCAACCGATCTCCCTCCCTCGCAAACCAACCCCAGCTCGCATCGCATCGCATCCATGGCGCCCAAGGCCGAGAAGAAGCCCGCGGCGAAGAAGCCGGCGGCGGAGGAGGAGCCCGCGGCGGCCGAGAAGGCGCCCGCCGGGAAGAAGCCCAAGGCGGAGAAGCGGCTGCCCGCGGGCAAGTCGGCCGGCAAGGAGGGCGGCGGCGAGGGCAAGCGGGGCAGGAAGAAGGGCAAGAAGAGCGTGGAGACGTACAAGATCTACATCTTCAAGGTGCTGAAGCAGGTGCACCCGGACATCGGCATCTCCTCCAAGGCCATGTCCATCATGAACTCCTTCATCAACGACATCTTCGAGAAGCTCGCCGCCGAGGCCGCCAAGCTCGCGCGGTACAATAAGAAGCCCACCATCACCTCCCGCGAGATCCAGACCCCCGTGCGCCTCGTCCTCCCCGGGGAGCTCGCCAAGCACGCCGTCTCCGAGGGCACCAAGGCCGTCACCAAGTTCACCTCGTCCTAGGCTGCGCGGCCGTCTCTGCTTGCGGGCTTTTCTCGAGTGTTCATGTGCCTTCGCTGTAGTTAGATGTTGGTGGTTTCTTTGTCTTCTGCTTCTGTAGCAACTGCGTTGTCTGACGGAATAGTAATGGTGCTTATTTGACCCGGCTACTTGTTTATCTGTGAATCATCTGCTTTGAATGTGAATGTGATCATCTGCCGTGGTATTGCGATTCTTGTGAAGGTTTCATTTCTGTTTTACTTCTAGTGGAATTTTGGGTAACTTCTGAATTTGGCGCTTGAGCACTTTTTTCTATAACATCTATAGATACCCAATAGTATTTCAAAAATTTTGAAATTTGTATTTACAACGCATGTCTCTTGGTATATTTAATGCCATGCCATTAATTTTTTACTGACGCCTTGACCTTTTGACTGAAATCGACCCCACTTTCTGACCGGCGAAACACTCGGGCCAGTTGGCCATTCCCCGAAATCCCACCGCCTCGGCGCCGCTCCAGTTCTCTCCGCCCTCCCCGCCGCCCGCCCGCCCCCTGTTCAAATAACCCAACCCACCGCAGGCCTTCGCAGCCTCGCTAGAAACCGCCCGCCTGCTACCTGAAGCTTCCAGAAGGACTGGGTGAGCTGTGGAGGTGGACCTGTCGTTCGGGGCGGTGGCGGCGATCTGGGAGGGCGAGGTGGCGCGGGAGATGCCGCTGGTGCTTCAGGTTCTGGTGGTGCGCACGTGCTCGTGCCCAAAGCGGCCAGAACCAGGATGGTGCCATGCGGCGCTCTCCGACGGCGCCCACCTCATTTCCGGTCATCTGCGCCTCGACGAAACCGCCTCGGCAGCCTTCCGTGCTGCCCCGCGTGGTTACGGCGCCGTGGTCCGCCTCCTCGACTTCGAGACCAGAACAAATATCGAGGGTGGGAGGTGCGCGTCGCATCCCACCTGCTCGGATCGTTTTTCGCAGGAACAATTTGATATTGAGTTCGGGCTGCCGCCAATTATTTTTCTCCATTATTTGGAGGGGGAGGGGATGTTTACCATGCGGGTTTCGGGTGTTTTGCTGCGCCTGGATGTTGTCCTGTTGGGCAAAGAGTTGGGTGGGGAGGTTTTGCGGTTCCTTGCAGTTACGGCCTAGTTAAAATGAGAATGACGATACATACACAGTAATCATTTGGTCTTTGTTTCTGCTCGTGCAGGAATACTACGCCTACGGTGCTTGTTTCAACTCTGAACTTGTGAACTTTGTAATTTCGTTGCCTCGGTAATGAAATTCGGGTATTACCGTTGTGGGGGAAAAAAAAGGCATACTCTGGTTCTCTATCATTGATCTCTGCGGTAACAATTGATTGAGTAAATTTAGTAGTTGTAGATGATGTGCTATCTGTTTCACTTGTAGATATGCAGTGATTTGCAGGGAGTAAATTTCTCTAATCTGGGTCATGTTAGTGTTGGCTATTTAGTGTTGGTTTCACGTTTCCATATGAATATTCCACTTCATGCTATCACGAGTGGCCTAGTGCTGGGTGGTACAGGGGATGCAGCTGTAACTAATTCAAATTCTTGATGACCATGTCTTGGGGTGTGTATTAAGCTTGTAGACAACTTACATTATTGTGTCTTGTGCACAACAATTTTTATATAGTAATAAAATGCCAGCTAAATTACTTGATTTCTAGAACAACTTTGCCCTTTTTATTTATCTGATAAATTCAGCTATTACTTCCAGTACTTCGATTTAGTTGCATACTCAATTTCTGGTTAGCTGTCCTTCTTGTGCTATCATAGTATTCATTTTGGTGGAGGTGATTTCGGAGATGTGATGCTAATGATTTTATGGCCATTTCCCCTAAATTTTTTGGTTCTTATCTACCCATTGCTAATGCTAGAGCTAAATAAGAGCACCATTGAAGGATACAGTACTTAACTTCGCTGTTTTATTTATTGAGTACTTTGAAATTTGAATCCAATGAACTCACCATTATTTATTATTTACCTTTTCATATTTTATCTTTGAATTTCAGGTCAATTGACTCTGAACATGTTGAAGTGCTGCATACTTCCTTGAAAATTGGGGATCCCAAAACATACCGGCCTGGCTACTTGGTAAAAAAGCATGAGAAATTGGATGCTCAATTAGTGACTAGTTCTCCCAAACAGAACTTTAGAGCCAATCCTATCGGTCAAGGCTTCAAACGACTTTTGATAAGTGGGGTGGTGGCGATGTTGCAGCATCCTGTGATGCAGGTGGTTGGTGTCTCACTGCTGAAACCAGACCCAAAAACTCTTGTGAAGTACCATTTGATCCTCTCCGATGGTGTGCATACACAGAATGCTACACTACATCCCCGCCTCAACCATCTAGTTGAGGAAACTCTCCTCCGCAAGGGCACCATTGTCTGCCTCCTCGATTTTGTTTGCTGTAATGTTCGGTATCACAGGTGCTAATAGTTCCTTATGTTTCTGAAACTGGATCCTTGATGTTTGTGGTTTCTTCGCTTTAATCACTTTATTATTCTTTCGGATTTATTTATTTATTGAACATTATGTGCTAGACTGCCACTGTGCCACATAGATGCAAGAGTGTAATATAATTCTCCTTTTTGTTCAGTGCCACTATGCTTACCGATAGTTTTCATACAGATACAGGAATAGCCACTGATAGACTGGCTATACTTTACAAGTTCAGGCTATGGTGAATCTTTTTTTTCTTTTTATCTTTTTTAGGCCCCTTCTTGTTTATTAACATGACTTGGGGCTCTTGGTGGGTTTCAACTCTAGCCTACCCCAACTTGCTTGGGACTGAAAGGCTATGTTATTGTTGTTGTTGTTGTTGTTGTTCTTGTTTATTAACAATCATGGAGGTGAAGAATGCCACAATATGTGAATTATTAGTTCCTAATGTTCTCATGTACTCTATTTTCTGTTATGACTTAGTTGTGATATAACCGATTATGCTCATTGCTGTGGAAACTATGTAACCTGTTGTCAATGCTGAAAAATCAATAGTCTTAAGTTTCATATTGAAGCCGTAAAAAAAGTTACCGCCTATCATGATTGTTTCAATCTTAGTGAGTGCAGGTTTTAATAGTGTTTGCTCTTTTGGTCTATGACTTAGGATTGAAATGTTTTAACTTTGGGTTTAATGTTCAGTGCTCAATTCAGAAATCTTACCTGTAGAATCATAGGTATCATGTTTGTGGCTAGTTATTATAGAGATGGACTGAGTCGGAACTCGTAAGCTGTAACTATTGGAGCAGTGCCACTTGTATTTGCTAGATCTCTTGGTTATTTTTTGTTGTCAAGCTTGCCTTCTAAAGACTGGTACCCCCCTATTTTTTATCAATGTATCTTTTTATAGACCACTTCCATAGTTCCATTCCATCTTTATTGAGTATATATCTTGTTTAGATCTGTCAATACTTTTCAAGGATAACTGGAATCGTTATTTAAACACATTTCTAAAACTAATTTACCATTCCATTAGTCATTTCATGCCATCCTTCTGGATGTGACCACATGATTAGCTAGCAAAAGAAGCGATGGAGTGTGTTGCTGTGCTTTGACTGGAGTAACTAGATTTCTGAGTTTTGTAGTAGTGTTTAGTTTCTCTATGGCTTAAACTTAGACTTTTAGTGCTTCGCGTGGGTTGAATCCTCTGTTATTAGTTCCCATATTCCATTTACTATGATAGGTGTCAGTATGCAAATCATGTCTGTAAGTTATTCAAATGTTGTAGCAGTCGTATCAGTATTTTTCATTGTTTATATTTCCTGTTGATCATTAGATAGTACTCCCTCCGTTTCAAATTAAAAGACGTTTTGGCTTTTCTACATACGTTGCTTTTATTATGTATCTAGTATCTAGATATAATGTATATCTAAATGCATAGCAAAAACTATGTATGTAGAAAAGCCAAAACGTCTTATAATTTGGAATGGAGGGAGTAACTGACTTTATTTCTTCAAAATATTTACTGTTAGAGCAAGAAGAACATTGTGCTTTAATCTTAGGAATATGGTTGTGGCATGCTAAGATCGGTTGGGAGTATTTCTAGAATACTAGTTGTCCAAAATTCTCAATGCATTATGATTTATTGCTTTTCCTGTTGTATGTTTCTTAATTCAGTATTATCACTGTTTTCCAACTTAAAGTGCTGCTGATAGAGTGTGAGCTGATTGGAAGCCCCAAATCATGTGAGCTCTGTTGCATTGAAAAAGTGTATGGACTCAAGAGTGAATCTGTTGAACCATATTCTGGATCAGTGTCCAATTATGCTAAACCAAATAATGGACCCTATTTTACTTGTCAAGGCTTGAATTGGTACCTTACTCAGGGTGCAGTAGCGGCAATAATGGAGGGTGAGATGGCATGTCAAGGGCCTCGAACCCCTGACTGGCCGGACCTCGGCTACGTAGCTCGTAGCCACCGTCCGTCACGCCGGCGAGGTTATACCCCTCAGCCGTCGGCTTACAGAGAAGAGAGGTAGATTAGAGATAACTTCTTGCTTGCCTTCAGTTGGTTTCCCGTACAAGCATATATGGCTCTCGGCCAAATAGAAGGAGAAGGCTCTCCTTAATTGTAGGACTAATCTTAACAATGAAATAACTAACAAAGGAAACAACTAATCAGGAGGCTAACTTTCCTCCTAGCCACTCGCCTACCCTTCCTGCGTCCTGGCTGCGCGCTCGGCCTCCCGGCGCACGTCGCGGGCTCGCCTGCGCCTGGCGTACGTGCGCCCGCACATGACATCTCTCCCGCCGTCGAAGACCAGCTCGTCCTCGAGCTGAAAATCAGGGAACCGAGCACGGAAGTCGTCGTAGTCCTCCCAGCTTGCCGATGCAGCCGGCTCATCTTGCCACTGGACCAACACCTGCCGTACTCCGCGAGCCAGACGGCCGGCTGTGACCGCCGCAGGCACCGGCACCATAGCGCCGTTGTGGATTGGTGGCAGTGCCGGGGGTGTGGCAGGCGGCGTGCCAACGAACTTCTTGAGCACCCCAACGTGGAACACATCATGGAGGCGGGCCCCTGGTGGAAGATCGAGCCGGACAGCCACGGCGTTGATGACCTCCCCGACGCGATACGGCCCGACGAACCGGGGCTTGAGCTTGCCGGTGGTGGTACGTGGCAGTGACGCCGCTGGGCGCTGCCGGAGCCGGAGGAGTGCCCAGTCACCAACTTGGGAAAGCCACTGGACGATGGTGCTGGTCGTAGAGACGCTTCTGGACCGCCTGGGCCTGTTCGAGGCGGTAGCGGACGTCGTCGAGGAAGGCCGCGTGGTCCTCCATTTCTGGGCAACAGCAGCCACGCGCGTCTCGCCAGGCTCATAAGAGCGGATGGTTGGCGGATCGCGGCCATAGACCACGCGGAATGGCGTCTCCCGGAGCGACGATTGGAAGGCCGTGTTGTAGGTGTATTCGGCCCACGGGAGCCAGCGAAGCCACTGTCGAGGACGGTCGCCGGTGAAGCAGCGGAGGTACATGATGATCACCCTGTTGGCGGCCTCCGTCTGGCCATCCGTTTGCGGGTGAAAGGCCGACGACATGAAGAGCTTGGTGCCGGTGAGGCGCATGAGCTCGGTCCAGAACGCCGACGTGAACACCGGGTCGCGGTCCGAGACGATGGACTGCGGAACGCCATGAAGGCGGACGATGTCGCCGAAGAATGCTTGGGCGACGGATTCGGCGGTGTAGGGGTGCGCCAGCGGGATGAAGTGGCAGTACTTGCTGAAGCGGTCGACGACGGAGAGGATGACTGTCTTGCCCTGCACCCGGGGCAGCGCTTCAATGAAATCGATGCCGATGTCGGCCCAAACGCTGGACGGGATGGGCAGCGGCTGGAGCAGCCCGGCCGGCCTCAGGTGGTCCGTCTTGTACTTCTGGCACGTGGCGCACGCCTTCACAAAATCCTGCACCAAACGACGCATGTTGGGGAAATGAAAATCACGCCGTAGGCGGTGCAGCGTGCGATGAACGCCTTCATGGCCGTCGTCGTGGACCGCGGCCAGGATCTCCTGAAGGAGTGGCGACGCGGGCGGGATGTAGAGGCGGCCCGCCAGGGCGACCATGCCATCGATGATGGCCCACGGCGCGGCGCGGGTGCCCGCACGGAGTTCGTCGTGGACGGCGACCAGCGCTGGGTCGGTGGCCTGGGCATGGCGGAGGCGCTCGATGAAGTCGAACCGGGGCGCTGAAATGGCCAGCAGCTCGCCCGCATCGTTGTCGCGGCGGGATAGGGCGTCGGCGACAGTGTTCGTGGCCCCGGAGCGGTACTCCACTGTGAAATCGAAGCCCAAGAGCTTGTCGACCCAGTGGTGCTGCGGAATCGTGGCGAGGCGCTGGTCGAGGAGGTATTTCAAGCTGTAGTGGTCCGTCTTGACGAGGAAGCGGCGCCCCCACAGGTAGGGCCTCCAATGCCGGACCGCCTGAACCAGGCCAATGAGCTCGCGCTCGTAGGCGGCCAGGGCGCGGTGGCGCGGTGCCACTGGCCGGCTGAAGTACGCCACCGGGTGTCCCGCCTGGACTAGGACCGCCCCAAAGCCGACCGTGGACGCGTCACACTCGACGACGAACAGCTTGGCGAAGTCGGGCATGGCGAGGACGGGGGCCGACGTGACCGCCGCTTTGAGCGCCGAGAACGCCGCGGCTGCTGCGTCGTCCCATGCGAAGCCGTCCTTCTTGAGCAACGCCGTCAGGGGCGCGGCCACCGTGCCATAGTTATGCACGAACTTGCGGTAGTACCCCACGAGTCCGAGGAAGCCACGAACAGCACGGGCGGAGCGCGGCGCCGGCCAATCATGGATGGCCTGCACCTTGGCCGGATCCATGGCGACGCCCGCAGCGGAGATAACGTGGCCGAGGTAGGCGATGGCGGAGGCACCGAAGGAGCATTTGGTGCGCTTGACGAAGAGCTGGTGGCGGCTGAGCTCGTCGAGGACAGCACGCAGGTGCCGCAGGTGATCCACCCATGTCCTGCTGTAAATCAAGATATCGTCAAAAAATACGAGGACGAAGCGACGGAGGAACGGCCGCAGAACGTCGTTCATCAAGGCTTGGAACGTGGCCGGTGCGTTGTAGAGTCCGAACGCCATGACCAGGAACTCGTACAGGCCGTCATGCGTGCGGAACGCCGTCTTGTGGATGTCCTCGGGCCGCATGCGGACCTGGTGGTACCCCGACCGCAGGTCGAGCTTGGAGAAGAATTTGGCGCCGTTGAGTTCATCCAGCAGCTCATCCACCACCGGGATTGAGAAGGCGTCTTTGACCGTCACGGCGTTCAGGGCCCGGTAGTCGACGCAGAAGCGCCAGGAACCGTCGGCCTTCTTCACAAGGAGGACCGGCGACGAGAACGGCGAGTCGCTGCGGCGGACGATCCCTTGTTCAAGCATGGCGGCACATTGCCGCTCCAACTCATCCTTGTGGGCAGCCGGGTACCGATAGGGGCGTACGGCTACCGACTGGGCATCGGGCTTCAGCAGGATGCGGTGATCAAGGGCGCGCTTGGGGGGCAGGCCAGTCGGAGTGGCGAAGACCCCTGCAAACGCGTCGAGGAGGGCCTCCAGGAGCGGCTCGCCAGCGGACAAGGCGCGCGCTGCCGGCCCCGCCGCCGTGGCCAGTCCAGCCCAGGATATGGTGCGGCCCCCATGCTGGAAAGACATGCGCCGGTTGGCCAGGTCCCAGACAATGGGCCCCAACGCGCCGAGCCACTTGGTGCCGAGGACGATGTCATACCCGGCCAGGGGCATGACGAAGAGATCCGCCGGGAACGCAGCACCGGCGATGAGCAGCGGCGCGTCGCGGATGACGCCGGCGCAGGTGATCTTGTCGCCATTGGCGGCCATGGCCGTGAGGCGGGGACGTTGGCGGAGAGGAAGTTCCGAGCGCCGCGCGGCCTCCTCGGAGATGAAATTGTGGGTGCTGCCGGAGTCGAGGAGGGCGACGAGCGAGGCGGCCCCCAGTGTCACCGCGAGCTGCATGGTGTCCGTCATGGACACACCGGCCACCGCCTGCAGCGAGAAGCAGGGGCCGTCCTTGTCCCCGGCGTCAGCGGCGTCTTCGGTGTCATCAATCTCCACACCGTCCACGAAGAAAATCCGCTTGCAAAACCTGTTATGGCCACGAGAGTACTTTTCATCACAGTTAAAACAGAGGCCAAGGCGGCGACGTTCCGCCTGCTCCGCCGTGGAGAGGCGCCGCTGGTTGCCCTCGCGGCGTCCCTGGTCGGCACCCGCCGGCGGTGCGGGAAGTGCCAGCTGCTGGGGCGGTGCGGGAAGAGCTTGGCGAGGCGGCGGCGGCGGCAGCAGACCGCGCGCGCCAGGCCGGACCGGGGCCTGAGGTGGCCTGTCGATCTCCATGAGCTCCACTTGACGCGCCAGGCTCATCGCGGCGGCGAGCGTGTCAGGATTGTGGATGCGCACCGCGTGACTCAGAGGCGGAAGGAGGCCGCCGGTGAAGAGTTGCACCCGTTGAGGCTCGTCAAGCCGACCGGCGCGGGGCAGGAGTGCCTGGAAGCGGTTGGAGTACTCCTCCACTGTTCCGGTGCGCCGGCACTCGGAAAGCTCGAACATCGGGGCGGAGCGGAGAGGAGGCCCGAACCTCTCGTTCAGGAGGTCTTTGAATCGGCCCCAGGACGGGGCGCCATCATCTTCTTTGAGCTGGTTGTACCACAGCTGCGCGACGTCGTCCAGATGGTAAGATGCCATCCGAACACGTTCCTCTCCCATGGTGCGGTGGTGGCGGAAGTACGACTCGCATTTGTTGATGAACAGCATCGGATCGACGGTGCCATCAAAGCGGGGGAAGTCCCACTTTTTGTGCTTGATGAACGGATCTTGGTCGCGCGGCCCGTCGGGGCGACGGCCCCCTCCGTTGTCCGAGGACGACGAGGACTTGTCCTTCATGGCCGCCATATCGGACTTCAGAGACGATACCTCCGTGCTGAGGGACCTCAGTGCGGCGAGCACGTCGGCAAGGGTGGGCTCGGCCATGGCTGCGGTAGGGGGAGCGGCGATGGCGGCGGCGGCTGGCTGGTGGGCTGCGGTGGAAGAGTGGGTGGAGCGGGTGGGCGAGGATCGACGAGACCGTGATACCAGGTTGTCAAGGGCCTCGAACCCCTGACTGGCCGGACCTCGGCTACGTAGCTCGTAGCCGCCGTCCGTCACGCCGGCGAGGTTATACCCCTCAGCCGTCGGCTTACAGAGAAGAGAGGTAGATTAGAGATAACTTCTTGCTTGCCTTCAGTTGGTTTCCCGTACAAGCATATATGGCTCTCGGCCAAACAGAAGGAGAAGGCTCTCCTTAATTGTAGGACTAATCTTAACAATGAAATAACTAACAAAGGAAACAACTAATCAGGAGGCTAACTTTCCTCCTAGCCACTCGCCTACCCTTCCTGCGTCCTGGCTGCGCGCTCGGCCTCCCGGCGCACGTCGCGGGCTCGCCTGCGCCTGGCGTACGTGCGCCCGCACATGACATGGCAGTGGAGTGGCAGCCAGTGCTGCAGGTGGTTGATTTCTCACTAGCGAGTCACAATGGGTTCAGCTTTTACCGTATATTGCTCTCAGATGGTGTCCACCAGGTGTACGTCAACCTCTTTCCCCACCTAAGCCACCTGGTTGAGGGCAGTTGCCTCCGGAAAGGTACAAGAGTCCGCCTTCTCAGGTTGATCCGTCACAGTCGACCAGGATCAGAATTGCAGGTAAGGATCCCTTATGTTCTTATATAAAATAAACTCAAACTTTCTTGCTTGTTGAGAGTTGGCTTTATTTTGTTGGAGGCGAGATTGGCCTTCGTCTATGTTCGTCCAACAAATAATCTTGCCATATTAGTCATATGCATGATATAGTATCTTTTGTTGCCTGTGCATTTTCATTTGCACATGTTTAGAAGAATTCTCACTCGTCATTAGGTGGACCTATTACAAAGTGAATTTATTGCTTGAAAATAAGTCCTTGTACAGCACACCACGTACATCTCAAATTCTCAATAAGGTGCATTCCCTCCTCTGACAGTTTCTAAGTCATACAATTTGCTAAACTTGAACTCATCCATGTGTTATTTCACCTGTTGTTGGCATGAAAATTTCAGGATTGCCATTGCCGTGGAACTTGAAGTACTCCAAACAGAATGTGTGCTGATTGGAAACCCAAACTTCTATGAGCTTGGAAATAAACAGAGCCACTCCAACTCAGAGTCCTTACTGCCCATTTCTGGAAGCTTCTGCAAGGATCAGGGAGGCATGGAGATGCAGGCAAGCCTGACGTGGGGAGCAGTGACGGCCATCTGGGAGGATGTGGCTGCGGTGGTGCAGCCAGTGCTACAAGTGTTTGACCTGCTTGTATGGGCAGAGATGGATGATCCATGGTTATCCCCTATCTTGCTCTCGGAAAGCACCCATTTGATCCGCGGCGGCCTTTCCCCCTACATAATCAGCTCATCGATCTTCAGGGATGGCCGCCTCCACATGGGCGCAGTGGTCCGACTCGTTGAGTTCACGTGCCACAATGACAGAACTGAGAGGTATGATTTGCTTCCCAGCTTTATCCAAATTCAATTGGTATTTGATATTGCCAAGTTTTTGGTAATTGTTGGGTGGCTTATGTATGAATCAGAAGCAAAGCAGGAAATTGGATTTGTGAAAATTTACAAGTTCCTTTTTTTTTTGTTAATTATTACGTTTGATGCACATGCACATGGGAAACACACCTACCGGTATGCACACAAAAATATGTTTCCAAGGACATATTTGAACTTGTAGATGTGGGACAAATACGTTACCTCATACTCATAGTGCATGGACACACATTTACCCACACCATAAACTGCTTGTGCATAAAGGATTCATAGACCTGAAACTCCTATCAACTATGAGGTGGTTTCATCACGTGTTCTGATTGTTGTGCAGTTACACAGTTGTTGGGGTATGTGAGTTTAGCCTTCCTTGCTCTAAATTCCCAGTAAGGTTAGGGGATTTGTGATATGCTTCTATAAATCATTCATTTTCTCTTGCGTTCCTTGCTCCTGTAGGAACACTTTAGCCGCTTACAATCACAATTAGGTGAACAAGCAGCTCATGCAGTACGTCCAGTAGATGATATGCAACTCATTCGGTTGTAGCTGGGTGGTAACTTGCAGGAATAAATTAACGTGGACCATGTAATTAATTTTGTCTATTTAACATTAGATTCCATTAATTTCTTGTTGGATAGTTTGAGGCACCTCTTTGTATTTTCATATGATCTGCGTTTCATGCTATCATTCAGCACTGGTTGATTTAAGGGAATTTTTTGTGTTTTGTTCTATGAATTAAGTTTGAGTGGCATATTAGGCCTGTAGGTTTGTATATAGTCTTGTGAAAACTCATTTTTTATATTAACATAAATATCAACTAAATTACTAGTGTTTAGAATGATGCCTTTTTTCTCCTTTTTTTATTTTATTGTTTGGTGATTTCAACTCTTACTTTCAGTGCTTATCATATTGACTGCATGGTTCCTATGGAAGCACCATAACACCTATGTCTTTGATAGAGAAACCCCTTTTGTTAGCGAAGTTTTGCGACAATTTAGGGATGAGTATAAGCTATGGTGTCTAGCCGGAGCTAAGAAACTCCAAGCTCTGGGACTGGATGGGTTAGGAACACTCGGATGAGTTTTCCTTTCTTTTTGGCCATTAAACTTGTTTACCAGGTAATTGTGTTGTACGTGTATCCAACTTTCTCATGTATGGTCCTGGCATGAGTTGGTAATGTATACGGGCCATTTTTCCTCTATATAATACAATTATACAAAGATACACAGCTCTCCTGCGTGTTAAAAAAAAACTTTCAGTGCTTTGGTTCGGTTGCATGCTCGAATTTCAGTTTAGATATTTGTCCTGTGCTATCATAGATTCTGAGTTGTAATTCCTTTGTGATAATAAGTGAATTATTGTCGTGGCCACGTTCCCCTAAATCCATCCAATCTTGTTGATAAGAAGGTGATCTTATTGGCCCTATGCTAGGGCTGCTCAACATGATCTAAGGGATGTACAATTAAATCCTCCATTAGCTATGTGCAGTATGTTCAATGCTATAAATTTGCTGTCCACTTCTATTTACCCTTTCATAATCTGTCTTTGAAATTCAGGGTCATCGTTGTGTTAAAACTTGAAGTGCTGCGGGCGGATTGTCCGATGGTTGGAAATCCCAAACAGTATCCATCTGGCAAGTTGGAAAACAAGCGCGAGGAATTGGACACTGAATCAGTGTCCAGTAATGCCAAACTGAACTGTGAAGCCTATTCTGCTGGGCAATGCCTGAAGGAATTCCTGACAAGAAGGGGGATGGTAACCACATTGCAGCAGCCTGTGATGCAGGTGGTTGATGTGTCACTGATGAGACCAGAGCTGAAGAAGTTTGGGAGGTACCACTTGATACTCTCTGATACTGTTCACACAGGATGCTACACTAGCACCCGACCTGAATCACCTGGTTGAAAATATTCTTCTCATCAAGGGTTCCATCATCCGCCTCCTTGAGTTTATTTGCGATACCGCCAAGAGTCCCAGGTGTGAATCATTCCTTGTTTTCCCAAAAATGGATCCTCGTGCAAGAAAGACTGGTTGAGGTCTTGGGGCCATTTATCACTTTGTTAGTTGAATTAATTTTTATTTGTTGAAGTATATGTACTGATTTATAATGTGCCCACTTATATGCAGTTCAGTACATTTTCACTCCACAGCGTGTACAGATAGCTTTCGTGCAACTTTGCAAGAATACTAACTGATCGATAGCTCATCCATGGGGTGTACTTTTTGATCAATACTATTATATATTTTGTCCACATTTTATATAATTTCAGCCTATGGTGTTTTTCGGGTCCTACTTAGCTATTAACAGTGATTGAAGAGAGATCAAAATACTGATATACTGTACAAGAAGAGAGATACATTCCTACATTCTTTGTTGCAGTGGAAAGTCAACCTTGTCAATGATTGAGTTTAGCCTTGTCATATTGAAACATTGGAAAATATCTCAGCATGTCACGCATGGTTTGCTTTAGTTGAATTTATACTTTACAACAGCATTTGTTTTTGCTGACTTCCACATATCATGTTTTGTGTCCCAACTTGTGTTGAATGTTCAATATGTTGGCCCACGGGATCACCGTCTGACGATAGTGAAATAGTCTCCAGACCACTAGTCTCCCAGACCACTAGTCTCCCAGATCAGGCCACTAGTCTCCCAGACCACTATACCGGTTGTGTCTGTACCCACACACTATGGATCGAGCTAGAAGAAGAAGGGAGAACAGAGCAAGCACGCACAATACAAGACAACAACGTTGGCCGAGGCCCTGTCTGTGTGATGGCAAATCTGAGCTCTCTTTACTGAGTTGCCATACATGTCTATTTATACAACTCTAACTATCTAGTCCATGTGCGGCAGCGCCCATGCCGGGCACTGATAACTAGATAACCCGACAGGCTGACTCTCACGCCGCCACCTTTGTTCCTCTGATCTTTGCAGGTGAGCCGTCTGGGCGCCTACAACTGCAGCCGCCATTGTATCTGGCGAGGGGGCAAAGTCGGCGCCGCCTTCCCTTGTTGTGTTCACACACGTGAGCGGCTAAGTCGGCGCCGCCTTCCTCTCATTGTGTTCACACAAGGTGGCACAATGAAGCGGCTAAGTCGGCGCCGCCTTCCTCTGCTGTGTTCACACAAGGTGGCAGTAGATTAGCTAACAATCTTCCCATAATCCTACTGCTAACCCTTGTACCCCCTCCATGCTGATCATCTCCTTTAGCTCCGTGAGTCGAAGTCGTCCGAGCGGCTTGGTGAGGACGTCTGCGAGCTGCCGAAGCAGCTTTTTCGGCGAACTTCGATGACAATTGCCCTCCATCAACACGGTCCCCGAGGAAGTGGAACTTTACGTCGATGTGTTTACTCGGTCGTCGTGCAGAACCGGATTCTTCGCGAGGGCGATGGCGGGCTGGTTGTCCACCATCGATCTTTGGTGGGTGAGCTTCCACGCCGGTTAGCTCACCCAAAGGCAGCTGGCGAAGCCACACAACAACTTGGCACGCCATTGCGGCGCGCCGCCGCCACGCACGCCTCGCATGTAGATAGCGCCACCACCTTACATTTCGGCCGACGACCATGAAATTGGGGCCGACCCGAGGAAGACGAAAGACGCCGGAGGTGCTCCGTCGTCCGTCGATGTCCGCCGCCATGTTCGCATCGCTGAACACCGTGAGCTGCACCTACTTCCCCGGTCTTTGGGAAGATGATTCCATGATTCACCGTCCCCTTGACGTAGCGTAGTAGCCGCTTCACCGCAGCCCCGATGATCCTCTCGGGATCCTCCATGAAGCGGCCGACGAGCCCACGGCGAACGCAATGTCCGCCTTGTGTGGACTAGGTAGCGCAGACCGCCGACGATGCTCCGAGAGAGTGTTGCATCTACTTTCGCGCCGCGATGTTTGGCCTTCGTCGACTTCACCGCTCCTCCATCGGAGTCACGCATGGCTTGCACTCCACCATGCCGCTCCTCTCCAACAGCTTTGAGGCATCGCGCTTTGCCCGAGCGTGAGTTCCTCCTTCCTCTCTCACCTCGATGCCGAGGGTAGTAGGAGAGAGCGCCGAGATCGCTCATTCGAAAACGAGCTGTCATCTCTCGCTTGAAGCTGTTGATATCCTCCGCGCGCGCGCGGTGATGATTAAGTCATCCACATACGCGCCGACCACGAGTTCTTCCTTCCCCGTCGTCGCGTGTAGAGCGCGCGTGCTCGATTTGCGCACCTCTGAAACCTAAGCTCGCCCGCGTGGTGTCAAGCTTGGCGTTCCATGCTCGAGGGGCTTGCCTTAGCCCGTAGAGAGCGCTGCGCGATCGGAGCACCTGTGCTCCTCTCCCTTGACAGCGAACCACGGAGGTTGCTCGACGAAGACCCGTTCGCTTGACTCACCGTTGAGGAAGGCCGATTTAACGTCAAGTGATGGACGCGCCGATCCCTTGCCGCCGCAAAGCAAGTAGCAAACGGACCGACTCCATGCGCGCGCTCTTGGTGCAAAGACCTCCTCGAAATCGATGCCCTCGCTATTTGGACAAAGCCTCTCGGCGACGAGGCGCGCTTTTGTGCTTGACAATGGCGCCGAGCTCGTCCCTTTTGACTTTGTACACCCACTTCAGGCTGATCGGACGGCATCCTGGAGGTGGATCGACGAGCTGCCAAGTCTCGTTTTCCTCGATCGCCTTCATCTCCTCCAGCATCGTCCGTCGCCAGTTTCCATCGCGCTTGGCTAGCGCGAACGTGGGTGGTTCCTTTGCACTGACGAGTAGCAGCTCTGCGTCGTTGAGCAGCCTACCCGCCAGACCTGAGGGACCTGTGCTACCAACGATGTTGTCCAGACTGCGGAACCTCAACTCCTCACCTTCGTGGTAGGCGTCCACGAACTCAGTGATGTCACTTGGAGGTGAGGTGAACTTGATCGGGGGTGATGGAGTTCCTTCTTCCACCGGAGTGCCCTGCATAGCACCTGAAGTGTTCGGCACTGCTTCTGGACTGCTCGTCATACCTCCTGCAGTGTTCGGCCACACTGTAGTAGTTCCCAGCCTCAGTCTTGGAGTGGTCGGAACCACAGTAACACGTCTTGCCTCCGCCACGGGAGTGCTCGGCACCCGTCCTGAAGTGGTCGCCACCACTGCAGAACCTCCTGGCTCCACTCCTGGCGTGCTCGGCATCCCTCCAGAAGTGCTCGGCATCCCTCTTGAAGTGCTCGGCACTGCCCTAGAAGTGCTCGACTCTACCGCCGGAGTGCTCGGCGCTCCTCCCGGAGTGCGTGACACCTGTTCCGCAGCGTCTCCACCGCCGTGGATGACCAAGTGCTCGACGACGAAGGTGTTGGTGAAGCCTCCCGCTTCCCCCGTGCTCGGACTGTGCCAGTCCCAAGCTGCCTCCTCGTTGAACACAACGTCGCGCGAGACAGTCACCTTGTCTCCGCGTGGGTCATAGAGCCGGTACGCCTTGGTACCCTCCGCGTAGCCCAGGAACACCATGGGTGTGCTCCTGTTCTCCAGCTTGGTGAGGTTCGGCTTCGTCTTCCTAACGTGGCCGATGCAACCGAATGTCCGGAGGAATGACACGTTCGGCTTGCTCCCGTACCAAGCTTCGAACGGCGTCTTGCCCGTTAGGGCTTTGGTTGGAGCGCGGTTGAGGATGAACACGGCCGTGGTCACCGCCTCTCCCCAGAACTTTGCCGGCATCCCTTTGGCCTTCATCATGGATCGGGCCATACCGACCACCGTCTGGTTCCATCGCTCCACCACGCCATTCTGTTGTGGCGAGTACGGCGCGGTGTGATGTTGCCCCACACCTTGATCCGCGCAGTACGTAGCAAACTCCACCGAAGTGAATTCGCCACCCCGATCAGTCCTCAGTACACGGAGCTTCTTGCCGCTCTCGGCCTCCGCGCGCGTCTTGAACTTCTTGATCGCCACTGCCGCTTCGTCCTTGCTCGTCAGGAGTTGCAGCCACATGTAGCGACTGCAATCGTCCACGAGTAGGAGGAAGTACCGCCGACCACCGCATGTAGCAGGCGTGATCGGCCCGCAGAGGTCGCCGTGAACTAACTCGAGAGCTTCCTTCGCGCGATACTTGGCCGCCTTTGGGAAAGGTAGCCTCCTCTACTTCCCGGCCAGGCAGCTGTCACACAGCTCGCCTCCGTGTTTGATGTGGGGTAGCCCTCGGACCATCTTCCCCAGCCGACCAAGCGCGTCGAAGCTGAGATGTCCGAACCGGGCATGCCACATCCATGGTTCCTCGGAGTGCCTTGCCGCCAGGCAAACCGGCTGCTCTACCTTCAGGTCGAGCAGGTACAACCGGTTCAGGGACCTCTTCACCTTGGCGAAAAGTCGCCGCTCCCGGTCTCTGATCCTCAGAACGCCGTCCTTGATCAGAACCTCGCTACCGCGCTCATCCAGCTGACCAATGCTGATGATGCTGGAACGCAGCTGCGGTATGTAGTATACATCCGTTAGCGCGCGGTGCTCCCCGTTCTGGCATCTGAAGATGATGGTGCCGCGCCCTTGGATAGCCACCCTTGAGCCGTCACCAAACTTCACCGTACCGGTAACATCACCGTCGAGCTCGGAGAAGGAGTCCTTGGAGCCCGTCATGTGGTTACTGGCACCAGAGTCCAGATACCACCGCTGCTCCTGGTCGACGCCCACATGCCCAAGATGGACTTGGGCGCGTGGTTCGTCGAGGTTGACGGTCTTCAGGGCCTTGCTAGATCCTTCCACCGTCGTCGCCTCTTCCCTTTCCATGGCCTCGACGTCGTGCAGTGCACAGAACGTCGCCATAAGGATAATGGCCTCATCCTCATCATCGGCTTTCGCCAGATGAGCCTGAGCCTTCTTTTCCTTCTTGCGATTTGGGCACTCCCGTGCCCAATGGCCCATCTTCCCGCAACACCGACAGGCGTTGGAGTCGATTTGCTTCTTCTCCGAAGAAGCCCTGCCGCGATGTTTACCGTTGCCACCGCGACTGGAGGAGGCTGCCTTCCCGGAGTTTTGCCGAGCAGCCCACTCCTCTTCCGTTAGCAGGAGTTTCCCGCTGTCCTTCGTTA